CAGAAGTTAGGAGGTATATAGAGAGATACATATAGGCAGACAATGGCAGAAAAGTTTAACTGCAGTTCTGCTGGATAGCCAGGAGATAAAGACCTACAGAGATCCCCAACACTCCTTTGATATCTTGAAATGGCAGACAAGAGCAAAATTCACAGAAGAGTTAAAAAATAAATACATCCCTAAGGAATGGCTCTGAAAATAAATACAAAATTTAACTGTTTTCAAAAAAAATATATTGGCCTAGCTTGTTATGAGAATAGGTAGATCTTGTTTGATAAATTGGATTTAAATTTCATCAAAGGCCAAAACTTTAACTAACAGTCTGGGAGGTACAAGATTAAATGAGATTTACCTATCATGAGCAGATCAAAAAAATAAAAAATGAAAAATAATGGAAATGGAGAGTGAGTAGCAGAAAGAGCAACTGATGTCAATCCAGGAAAGAACTGTGATGTTGGATCTTGGCAATTTGCACCCAACTAAAGAATTAAATAAGAAAAACTCCTTTTGTGTAACAAATCCCTTGGGAGCTCAATGGTATTACAGATTTCTTATTTAAAATTGAATCCATGTTGTAACCTTGTGACAGAAAAGAGACACCTGCTTTTATCCCTACTTTGTTGGTTAAGAAATTAGTTTCTATTTATTAAAGGAAAACTAGGAAAAGATGAGATTGCTGAGATTTTCCTTCTCTTTTAAAATGATCCCAAAGAAACATAGTTAGCTGGACTTTGTTATCGCTACAGCTCCACTCATTGCAGTTGTTTTTCCACATGTCCAATTATTCTAAGTTACAGGAGGGATAGATATTGATAGCACCTGTGGATTTTTAAGCTGTGGGAAGAGAATGAACACTAGGAGTGTTGTGTATATAACAGATTTTTTCTTGTTCGCATAGCAAATTGGTTTTGTTAGGGGAATTGCTTGTCATAAGAAGCCAATCTAAGAAATTACCTTTGTACTTAGAAGGATCCAGTAGCCAAATAAATAACAAGTCAAAGCTGGTGATAAGGGTCTTTTCAAGTCCCAGGTGAAGAAAACTCTATAATACTTGAATGCATTTTGCAAGCTTTTAAATCTCAGAAGACAGTAGACAGGTTAAATTCTTTGTTGTTGCCAGAGAAATACGTAATGGAAACTAGAGCTGTAAGAATGGAGACAACTTAGAGAGAACTCCAGAATAACTAAGTTAGGAAATGACTTTCTGAGCTTATTTCCCATTAAGAAACAAACAAAACCCCTGAATTTAGCAAAGCAGAAAAAAATCTTGAAAATCTGATTAAAATATTATGAATTTAAATATGTAAAGAGCTTAGGAAACATAAGAGATTTTAATTGACCAATATTACAGTTTTCAGACTTCTGGGAATTCCAATAAAATATTAAAATTCTATGTGTTTAAATAAGTGCTTCTGTGAGGTACAAATATCACCCAGATAATATGAAAATAATTTATATCTTAAATCCTTGGTCTTTTGCTTTTACCTGCTATGATACTGAATAGTAAAAACAATGCTAAGAAAGTGATAAATAACCTACAAACATCTTAATTTAGTTTTTAAATGTTATTTGAGAAATAGTTTCAAGGGCTCCTATGTAAGATATATTCCATTACTTGAGTGTTTAGTAGCTAAATTTTAATCTAACATTTTTTAAAAAGAGTATAATTTGCAAATATCAGTCAAGAATTTTTCAGTTCATAAAATTGTCATGCTGACTTTCTCTACTATATTCATCTTAGCGTAGCTTACTGATTGGGCAAAGGACTGTTTTCCAGGCTAGAAAATGCTGTGTCTACAACAAATTATATGTTTCAAAATATTATTGAATGTTTAGAAGTAGAACATTAAGAAACTTACATTACCACCAAAAAAGTCTAAAAGAGAAGTAATGAAATAAAGTTATATGTCGTACCAGTTTAAGCCCTAGGTGGTAAAACTTATCATACTTTTAATATTAGTCTAGAGATCAATACCACACATTTCAGTCCTATGGGCAAGATCTGGGAGCTGCAGTGAGATATCATCCTTCAAAACTTGTAAATAATATTGCTCTTTGAGTGTTCAACAATGAAATCAACCCAGAGTAGAGGATGCCCTGATTGACTCTAGAAAACAATTTATAGAAAAGCATTTTTAACTTAGATTTGTACTTATAAAAAAGCAGTTTGCTTATAGGAAGAAATTACTTAGAAATGGGCAAAGCCAGGAAGTATTAATACATTTAAAGGTGAGACTTAGACTTACCTAAAAAAGAAAAAAAAAAAAAAAAACCCGACTAAAAACTAGTATGCTGAAGATAGGCTAGATGGCAAAAAGAGGATGTATCTACTTCTAATAGAAGAGGGAATTTGGCCAGTGGACTTTCTCTTAGGGAAGTCTGGAGCAGATTTTCTAAAACCTAAAGGACAAGTAAGACTTTTTCAGGCAAAGGAAGCTCTGGAGAGTAAGGGTCACTAGGCAGTTGGAAGGGTGCGCGCAAAGGCTTGGGGCAGGGACGGAGGAGAGCAAGTTTGGGGAAACTCAGCATTTGTGTGTGTCTGAAAAACCAAGTACAAGGAAGGGAGTGGGAAGAGTGGAGCCAGGAGAGGGAAGCAGGACCAGATCCTCAGCTAACCAAGTTCAGATTTGATCCCAAAGAGTTTTAAGCCAAGAGAGGCTGATAGTAAGTGCTATGAGTAAGTGCTATGTAGGTATTAACCATCATTATATATTGTTGATAGTTTTGCATCCTTTCTCAGTTGACATTATATTCTGAGCACTTTCCATATAATTAAAAATTTCTTGGAAACCACTTTATTACAATAAATGGCTGCATAATACTACATGCAAGACAATTTATTTAGCAATTCTCCTATTATTTGAAAATTAAGGTATTTATTTTTTTGGTCTTGAAAGTAAGCAGTAAACATCTTTGTGTATAAGTTTTAGAGCTCATCTTTGACAGTTTCTTTGGGAATTTCATATTAAAATGGAGTTACAGAGTAAGAACATTTCACACTTAAAAAAAAAAAAGTACCAATTTACAATCACATCATGCTACACCATTGACCAAGAAAAACAACTTTTTATCTGTGCCTGAAGGATGAAAAGTGGTATCTTACCTTTTGAACCTACATTTCTTTCTCACTAGCATGATTGCAGATTTATCATGTTTATTAGCCATCCTATCTTTTCTGTCCATTTCTTCACCCATGAAGAGGTGTTAATGTTTTACATATTGTTATGTAGGACCTCATTATATGTTAGTCATGAGTCATTTGTTCTAAACATTTCTTTCCCAGTTGGCTTTCATTCTTGTCTTTTGCCACCCACATTTTTAAACTTTCAATCTTATTCTAATTGATTCACTCAACAAATATTTATCAATAACCAGCTACGTGCAAAGCATTTTTCTAGACACATCCTCAATGAACAAAATAGTAAAAAAAAAAAAAAAAAAAAAAACCCTTCGCATGTGGTACATAAATTTTAGTGAGGGGAGACAGATAATAAATAAGCATGATAAATTCTATTAGAAAATAAGTGCTATGGAGGAAAAAAATGGAGGGCAGAAGGGATTGGAGATGGGGAGTATGTAGGTTGCAGTTTTAAATACAAGAGTGTTTAAGCTAGTGTCCCATTGAAAAGGTGATTTTTGAGCAAGGACTTGGAAACATGGCTGTTACCGTGCAGCTTATCTGGGGGAAGAGCCTCCTTGACAGTCAATAGCCAGTGCAAAGTTCCTATGCCTGGAACATGCCTGAGATGTTTCATCAGAGGTTGGAGTGAACAGTGAATGAAGTACAAAAAGATGAAGTCAGAGAGATTAATGGTGTGTGTATGAGATTATGTAGGCCATTGTAAAGACTTGGGTGAAATGGAGGGTTCTGAGCAGAGGATGTGATATGACTCATTTTTTAAAGGACCACTCTGAGTGTTGAGCTGAAAACAGAATAGTGGTAGCAGTGAAGACGGTGAGAAGATAGTGAGAATTCTGGATGTATTTTAAAGTATTATCAACAGAATTTCTAATGTATTGGATGTAGGGTGTGAGAGAAATCAAGGATGACTGAGGTTTTGGGCCTGAACAACTAGACACATGGAGGAGTAGCCTTTTGGGGGGGGGGGTGCAGGGGGAAATAATCCAAATTTCAGTTGTGGATTTAGTTGGAGATGTCTACTAAATATCCAATCCACATGTAGATGCCAACTAGGAAATTGAGTTTGGAGTTTAGAAGAGGTTTGAGCTATAGATACATATCCGGGAGTTATCAGCATACAAATGGTATTAAAAACTGTGGGATTAATGAGACTAGTCTAATTAGGGAGTGAGACACTGACTGGAATCAAGGGTTGAGCCTTTGGTAAAATATTATACATTAACCATTCCCATAATTACTCAACTTTTCCATGAACAGTATTCATTAAATGACAATCCATTCTTTGCTCTAAGTCTCTTAGCTTAACTTCTGATGGGCAAAAATCTGTTTTCCTCCATCTTTGCTCATTTTGGACTCATACTTATATGCAGTAAGTTAATGAGATTGTGGCACAAATGTATTCTTTTAAAAAATACCTTCTAAGTTGGTTATGGATAGTAAAGCCTTAAGATTGTAAATTATTGTAATTGGCTTTAATGTAGTTTATTAACTTTACACATAGGAGAGAGTCTTGCTTTTATTAAATGACCCAGAAATTGTTACTTTCTCATCAAATGTGTAGTTTCCTCATGGAAGCATGGAGAAAGGTAAGCATGAAAATAAAATTTTTACTTCTGTTACTGAATATCTCCCTTATTTGACTTTTAGGAGGAAATACTCAAAAGCAATTTTGACTTTCAGGAGGAAATACTCAAAAGCAATTTTGAAATGACTCAATTCTCATTCATCCATATGGTATTTTCATGACATCCCATTTTCAATAGTGCTAAAAAAATTTATTTTTTAAGTACAAATTTTAAAAAGTCAAGTTTTGAGATAATTTCAAATAATTATTTTATTTTGTTTTATGTATTTGCAGGCAACTCAAATAAAAAAACCAAAGCCCTCACTTCAAATGCAGCATCAAATTCAACAAATGAAACATTCTATGAAGCTGATGATATAATATAAGAAAAAATAATGGATACAACACAAATCAACATTGCTTATTAACTAAACAGTGTTTTAAAAGCTCACTGGAAAAATGGAGCAATAATAATAAAGAATGCATTTCAAACATAGTTTGTAATATTGCTTTTCAAAAATTCGCCACTCACAAAGCAAGACACAGCTGCATTTTCAAACATTCAGTTAATTTATTTGAATACCCAGAAAGGTTTCTGATCGATTTTCATGTGCATAAGTCTACTTTTATTTGCCAATTAAGATGTTTCAGCATTACATCAAATTATGCTAATTATTTGGGAGAAATTAAGGAATTGATCAAAAACACATATAAGCAAACCTATCTCAGTGAGGAACAATGAGAAGTTAATGTCACATTACCAGCATTTCACAATTTTTATACAGTCAATTATTTTTATGAGATGGCACTGGATAGGTAAATCTTGGGAGGTGAGCATGTCGTCTTATAAACTAGAGGTGGTATGTTCTTAAGTCTCTTAGAAATCAACCCAGGCCTTTTTGGAGGACTTCCTGGGCAGGCAGACAACATATTGCCTTTATAAAAGCTAATATTCAATAACAAAAAAATCACAATGTATAATCTGTACAACAAATATTTTCTGTATTTTAAGGGATAACCATAACAAAAATCCTTTGCTGATAAATTTCCTAAAGAATCTCTGTAATGAAAGTTATAAGACAAACAAGTTCTCTGTTCCCGCCTAATGCTATCACATTAATACCACCTAGACATCTAGAAATAAAACTAGTTTCTGCAAATTATAATTGTTTTAAAAGATTTTTACTCATAAGTGTGATTTCTATTATAAGAATATAGTCCTGGATTTATAATGGAATTCAACAGGAAAAAAGGAATAATTTTAAGCCAGCTCTGCTGAACTAATCTACTGTGTTGTGTAAAGTTTCTGTAGTTAAGGACTAGTCTTTCAAAAATGTGCCAAATACAGCTTCTCTGTTCTGATATATATATATATATGCCTTAACATAAGAATGCCTTATTGTTCTTGGGCATGCGAAGCTCAGGGTGAGAAACTTTTCATCATTAGGCTGTCAAAATTTCTACCAAGAACTGTAGATATTTTCTAGACCAGCATTGCCCATTCTGTGATGATGGAAATGTTCTTTCTATATTTGCACTGTCTGGTACAGTAGCCAGCTACTGGGCACTTGAAATGTGGTTAATGCAACTGAAGACATAAATTATTTCATTTACTTAAATAACCATGTGCTGTATTGACAGCGTAGTACTAGATCATTATTGTAACATCTTTCTGCCTGAGTTGGATTTCACATTCAAAAAGAGCACAATTTTACCAAGGCTTAAATATTAAAATTGCTTGCAGTATATGGGAAATTTGAAAGCTAAGATATTTCCATTATAAAAATGACATTTTAAGTGGTCATAAAAGCAAAGAATTTTCATTTATTTTTGTGACAGCTCATGAAGATTTTGTGGGTACTTCTTGATCTTTCTTTTAAACAGCTTTGATATTTTACCCCAGAAAATTTATCTTAATACACAGGAATCAATTATATTACTATACTGCCTCAGGTGAAAATCTGGGTTAACGGTTTGGTTAAGGCACTAGTACGGTTCTACTTTTGTTGCTCAAGGGTAAGAACAGATGCCATAAATGACACAAGAAGCAGGAAACTTAAGACTCAAGGCCAGCAAAATTGCTCACTGCCCACTTCCCCCAGACCACTCCCAAACTGTGGGAGAGGCATTCTGGGGCGGAGCATGGCTGGATGCAACATGGGCTGTGCTCTAGGAGAGGTTCCCCAATTCTCTGTCACTCCGCATACTCATATTTTTGGAGGAATTAACTGACATCAGAAGACCCTGAGCTTCAGCATAAGAAACCTATTGTTCTTGGATGTCAGCTGCCCAGCAAGTTTGAATTCCAGCACTAGAATCTGCTGGAGTCCTTGAAGTGCTCCCAGCTGAGCTAGCTTATCACCAGGTTACCTGAGGAAGGGCCACAGGGCTCATCCAGTAGACTAACTGGTTATGTCTCTCTTTAACTCTGAAGCAGTTGTGCTTCACAGATTAAGACAAAATATTAAAACAAGGAGCCTTATCAAATTACAGCACAGTCTATACACTGAAAATTATATTTTGAATGATTTATCTGGACCTAACAAATACTAACATAGTGATAGCATTTATTTTAAGCCAGTCAAAAATAATATAAAATTATAAAGAAAACACATTTCAAAGTACATATAATTCTGGGGATGGGTCTGATAAAGAATACAGTAGCTTTACGTGTTTTTAGATGATTTAGGTCACTGTATAAGTTTTGGTAATAATAATTAGATCTCAGAAAGAAAAGTGGGTCTAGAAGAAGAGTACAAATAATAGATTATAAAAGAAACAATTTTTTTTCTATTTGGCCTTCTACTGAGAGCAATTTCATCTTTAAAAATTGTCAAATTTGGGCCGAGCCAGTGGCGCACTTGGGAGAGTGTGGCACTGGGAGCGCAGCAGCGCTCCTGCCGCAGGTTCGGATCCTATATAGGGATGACCGGTACACTCACAGCACTCACTGGCTTAGCACGGTGCGGCCGGTCTCAAAAAGGACAAAAAAAAAAAAAAAAATTTGTCGAATTAATCAGATTATGAGGTGGATTAAACCAAACCCAATAAAAGTCATTTCCTTCCTTAAAACTTTTTAATGGTGTCTCACTGCTTACAGATTAAGGTCTAAACTCCCAAACATTAAACACAAGACATCCTTCTCATTTCCAAAAACCTAAAATGGTAGTTTCAATTCTTACTACTTGCTGCCTCACCTACGACACACCAGCAACACCAGATTGCTTGTAATTCTTGACACACACAGAACACGGCTTTTTCTATAAGTGATCTTTGCTCACAGCACTTGACACACACAGAACACGGCTTTTTCTATAAGTGATCTTTGCTCACAGCACCCACTGTCAGGAACCGCCATAGACCCCACTCTCATCCGCAATCAAAATGCAATTCAGACATGACTTTCCCTAGGTAGCCTCTTCTAATTTCTCTAGGTTAGTTACCCCTCTGTGTTTCTATAAACCCATGTTCAGGTCAATAACTGCACTTATAATGATGTGTTTTAGTGTTTTTCCTGCCAACTAAACTGTGAACTCCTTCCAGAAAGCAAATGTGTCTTATTTATTTCTGTATCCTCAGTACTTAGCATAGTGTTTGCCATGCCAGGTACTCAATAAATGTTGAAGAAAAGATGCAATGGCATTTTTATCAATATTACTAATAACTCTTTCAACCTAGTCTACTACTGAAGGTGACCTACAGTTATATAGTTTTACATAGAGTGGGTAGTAAATACAGACACACACAGTTGTTTTACTTCTTATTTATTGATGTTTTGGTCTCATAGAACCAAAGATGTAAAGGAAGATGTATGAAATGTAAAGAACTAGGAGTACCTCTGAGAGATTTTAGCCAAAAGAAAGAATAGAAATGGGGAATCTTTGTGGGGAGTAGGTCCATTAGCACAAAAACAATAGTGTCAAAGTGTTTAGATAATTTGGTTACAGATGCAAATCTAAATATAAATTCTATCTGCATCTGCAGAAATGATGTACATTGGGTGTAAAGAATATGAACCAAATATCAATTATCTGCTTAAAGAAGTTGAATGTGTTTAATAGTTATATTAATACATTCAACCAACCTTTAGTATTATAGACTGCTAGCTGCTTATCTATACTAATTTCTAAAATGAATATTACTTGAATTTTACTAAAATGTTGATAATCACACACATTAAAGACCAGAAGTTATCTCAGAGATAATATGGTACAATATTTTATAGAAGAAAGACACCAAGGCCCAGAGAAGCTAAATGACTTTGTTGAAGGTCATACAGGTAGATAGAATGGCCAGGACTTTTAGATTTTTACTAATTCAGTTTTGCTTTTGTTACATACCTGCCTTGGAGGAAATTTCATTAATTTTCTCCTGAAAAGTATTAGTGAGATTTACATCCAATCTCAATGCTATTTTGGAAGAAAATTACATTAGTAAAGATAAATTATTTTCATTCAGATATTTCATAAACTATCTTAATATTACAGGAAATGTACTTAAGAATAATTCCAAGATTATTACGGGTGGAAAGAATTACTGAGCATTAAAATCTTTTAATCTGCATACTATATTAGTTAATGGGGGCTGAGTTTTTATGTAACTCTTCTGAATCATTATTGTTACCATTCAGAAAACAAACCTAATGAGCCAACTTATAATCTGTACAATTAACAGAAATAAAACTTACAAATAACTCAATTAACTGTTTCACTACAATTATTTGCTTTTTTAACCATGTTACACACTCAATGGGGTGAGGCCATCCTTTTGTATATAGCATTTTCCAATCATTTTTCAAAATGCTTTTTTTTTTTACTTATTTTTTTTAATCCGATGACCAAAGAACTGTATTTTCATAAAATTATGAAAATACAGCAAAGGCAGAACAAATCCTTAAAAACTTAATAATTCTGTCTGTTTCTCTCCCAATTAACTGAAATATTTAAACAAAATAATTTCATTTGACGGGCCCAAACAACTACATTAGGTCATGAAAAAGCTGGAAGTGTGAGAGCTTGCATGGCTGTAATGCTTAGAATAAGGATGTGGGTGCAGCTTCCCTAGAATTTGAACATGAGTACATGTATGTTAGGAGGAGTGATGAGGCTCCCCAACTCTTACTGAAGCATGCCGGGAGAGGAAGAATCAGTAAAAATTTCACCACTATGAATTCACTGCAGCCATGTCTGTAGGTTACCAATTTGAAAATTTATAAGTGCACCACAGTGAGGTATTTGCAATCTTTGGTACTGTGCCTTGATAGTCAGTTGACTTTAGATGCTGCTACAACATAAATATTTAATTTATTAGGCATAAGGGATACATAAGTATTTAACAAAGTAACACTGATCATTGTGAAATTTAAAATGCAAGAAACATTTATATCCACTGATATATGTTTGAAAATGTTCACCCATATAAAATTTCCATTGTTATATAAAGGCTTTCATGATACAATTCCCTGACTCTTAAATTTTTTAAAGTACAGAATAAAATTCTTAATTCTAAATTTTTGTAACTGCTCCTGAGGTTTGTGACTGAAGTAAAAGAGAGAAACACTCAAAGTGGTTATTTATGAAACCATAAGTTCAGTGTGAAACTTGCTTCAAAACTACAAATCATTTCAGATAAAATAAACATATATGCTTACATTTATAAAAATTTTCCACATTATTCGTAGAAACAAGCTTTATAAAATTTACATACTGAATACAATAAAAATCAGTTCTAATGAAGATTTAACTGTCTTCTTAAATAAAAATTTCTGTGTTTGAGGTATCACTTTAAGACATGCCAATATGGCACATCTGTAAATCCCAGGAATCTATCCTAAAAATCCTGACTAACATAGTATCATCTCTTTAAGACTTACTAACAGGCTGAGCTAGACTAGTCTCTTTAAACAAGGAAGGAATACTTTAATTGTTACAAAAACAAAGGAGGCAGGTACTAGAAACTCTGTATTTCATTAAACAGTGAAACTTTTTAATAAATATTTTCATGATTATCTTCTTGCAGATAACGGTTCATTTAAAAAGTCCTAGTCAAGACCAATAAAGCACCTACATCTCCTATGATATTAAAAAATGCCCAGAGATTTAAAAACAGTGAAGATTTTCACTCTTTCTATATTACATCATAGTATATAAAGCTATTAAATTTTTCAGTGTCAAGAGTAAAGCATTACCTCTACATAGCTTCATCACTGGTCAGCAATACTCATTAACTGGTAGGTAGATTACCTGTGTCAACTGCAGTAAAGCCATTTTACCATCAACTTATGAAGTAATAACACTAGCCAAACACACAGGGTGCTTTGTATGTATAAATAGCTCTACTTGGGGCATGACTATCAAGTAACAAGACTGATTTAATACTTTATAGTCATAGCACATTAAAAATACATTGCCAGAGGGATAATGGTCCCACATATGAAAAATGTCTATATGAAAATGGCTGTGATTCATTGCAAAGCATAATTATATAGCAAATTCCAAGGAAGGACAAATAATTTTTAAAAATAAATTTTTGAATTTAATGGAACAGGCCAAAGTCTTAGTTACTTTTTGGAGAATTCAGAACTATTTGAAGAATGCTTTTCCTTTTTCCTCTTCTTTTTCTCCTTTTTGTGATGTTTCCCTTTTTTTGATTTATTCTTTTTTTCTTTTTTCTTTTCTTTCTTCTGATATTTTTGTTTCTTCTGTTTTGAAGTGTCTTGTTCAGTGGAACTGGATGAATAAGACCTATAGGCAATAATACATACTGATTGATAATTGCATTTATGATTGATAGGCAATTTTAAATGGAATTTGAACTGCCTTAAATTCTACTTGGAGTAAGGTAGAGTATAAACATGCGAGGGTACTTCACAAAGTTCACGGCAAGATTCATATTCTCTTTTAATTCCATTTTTCCACAAACTTTTCAAAGTCCTCTTGTAAAGAAACTCAAATATGCTTATATATTTGTATTCTCTTAAAATGCTGAATTCAGAATTTTTGCTGCTTGGTCACAGAAACTGATAAAACTAATATGTCTATTCTGTTCAACTCTATAATGAATTTTAAATTCAGTGAGGATGATATTTTCTGTGATTTTCAGTTTTTCATGCTGTCCTACCCTTCACAATCTTAAAAGGAAAAGTAGCATTCACCAAGCTTCATTATATACACAATTTATTTGTGTATATAACTTGTTAGCATATTTTCTTAAAAGCACCACAAAAGGATGCAATTATATATATGTATATATGAAGGGCTATAATTGTACCTTGGCATAAATGCACAAAAGCTGAAAATTAGCAAAATAAAAACACTTTTGTTAATTCTTTTGATTTTTCAAGTTAAAGTAGTTGATCCCTCTGGATGTAGAATGATACAGATAAACATATGCATTACAAAATAATTTTCATTAGTTACAGAAAGGATGCTTTCAAATTAACACTATATAAATGGATAAGGAAGACTTATCATTCATTATACTTTACTTTTCTAATATTACTGTACTGCTAAATTTGAAACAAATTGTAAAATTTCTTCCTCTAACATTTAAAAAAAAGAAAAAAAAAACAGTAAAAGCCATCTTTTAAGATCTTATATAAAGATCTTATCCAAACGTAAAATATGAGTGACAAGGCAGAAACTGAGTTAATTTAAAATTTAAAAAGACATCTCAAGGGCCAAGCCCGTGGCGCACTCGGGAGAGTGTGGTGCTGGGAGCGCAGCAGCGCTCCGGCCGCGGTTCGGATCCTATATAGGGGTGACTGGTGCGCTCACAGCGCTCACTGGCTGAGCGCGATGCGGCCGGTCTCAAAAAGGACAAAAAAAAAAAAGACATCTCAAGAGTTCAGTGATCTAAACATTAGGAGCTAAAACCAAACTAAGAAAACCCAAGATAGTCATAAAAATGGTTTAACAACAAATCCATGAGACTACATGGCTTCAAGGCTGTCTCGTGTCTGTATAGTGACCTGTGCGAATTCCTTAACTGACTACCTCTCTTTTAGTGACTACAAGTTTCCGTCATGTCTGTAATGCTGTATTCCTTTCTCCTCCTTGTCTGTTTAGTTAGACATCTGCTAAGCTATTTTCTCATGTATTCTCTTCCCCTCTTCTCAACTCTATTATTATCAAGTCTTGTCTGCTTTCCTTTAGACTCTGCTTGACTTGACCTCTAGATTCTGACTAGAGCTTCTTCTCTGCCTGCACATTTTTCTTTGGCTTTTTGATCCTGGATTCTCATTTTTAAGTCAAAATTTTAGGCGTTGGCATAGCAACACAATTAGGTGGCACTATCTCTGCTAAGGGTGCATAGAAAAGTTTAATCTCAGGCCCTGTCTAAAGTCTGCAAGGCTCAAGGTAGAGAGACCTGAATAAATAATAAATTACTAGAAAACAAGTATATTAGAATTTGTAAGACAATAAATAATCTCATGATTCCTGTAAGCAATCCATCTTGCTGTGCTAGCACAAATGATTCAAAAACACACTAGTCAGAAATCCTAAGCTCTACATTCCTATTTAATCTTATTTACATCCCATAGTTTATGTTAAGGATTATTATTTAACTCCCAACATTTGAAAGTAAGGTAACTTTTCCAACTTATAAGATATCTAAGGTGTTTAAATGTATGTATTAAATGCTTTATAAAAACTACAAAGTGACAAAACCTGATTTACAGTACCTACTCTGTGAGACAACTGGGTCCGAACCAGGAATAACTACATCGAGTTCCTTAAAAAATGTCTATATGTATACATTTATTCTAGTATGAATGAAACTGCACTCATTAACCAGGAAAGGAAGTTATTGCCTCTTCCAGGGAAGACGCTGCCTCTTATTTTGATCAATTTCTTTAACCAGTTAGTTGTTAAAAGAGTTAATGGTAAAAATTCACAGGTGACTCAGGAAGGTTCTGAAAGACCTGAAGGAATTTTTAACATAACAAGTTCTATTAAATTCTATTAATTAATTTCTTAGCCATGGTGACGATATTATGAGAATACAAATATTTAAGCTCCAAATTCATATATATAAGGACAAAACACATGCAAAGAATCCAATTAAAAGCTTAGCTGCTGTTCTAAAAGTTAAAAAGCTAGAATACAAACAGAATACATAAAAGGTGGGGGAGGGCTGTTATTCATACCTTGATTTGTTCCAAGAAGAAAATTTAAGGTGGCTGAATATAGATTTTTGATTCCTAATATGAAAGACTTTGCTATTTTACTGAAACAACTGAACATCTAACTCCATTAAGAAACAATTAATATTAAATTAACTGGACTATACAGAAAAAATAAAATTTTGTAATCCATCCTGGGTCATAGTCCTGCTTTTTTAAAAAAGATGCTATTTAAAGAATACCTTTTCCTTTTTTTTTTCAATTTGATTTTCTCTTTGGTTTTTTCTTTTTTCTTCTCCTCTTCTTCATTTACTCCTGTGGGGAGAGGTGGAAAGGAAAAATCAGGTCACCATGAGTCTATATATTAATATGATATGTACATATTTTTTGATTTTAGTTGTTGGCTGGTGAATTTCACTGGTCAGGATACTGTACTTCTCTTTTAACAATCCCCCTTCTTAATTATTTTTATTCATTAAAAACTTTCAGGGACTGGCCAGTTAGCTCAGCTGGTTAGAGTGCAGTGTTGTAACACCAAGGTCTAGTGTTCATACCCCCAGACAGGCCAGCTGCCAAAAAAAAAAACCCCAAACAACAACAAAACAAAAACCTTATAATAAAAGTATTATATGCTTTTTAGGAAAACTGCAAATAATGCTCAATATATCAAGTAAAAACTGCAAGTACTCCACTTCTAATTCCTATAGCAAATCAATATCTATGTTTTGGTGCATACTATCTTGGCCTTAAAAAGCAGGATAACACAACAGTACATAGTTTTTAAATTTTCTTTTGCTCACAAAATTAAGATCATGCAACACATATTATTCTCTAGCTTGTTTTATAAAACACACAATTTGGTGTGTATTCTAGGCTTTCTCTATATAAAACCAAATACACATATTTAATGATACACACAAGCTGTGGTTTCTTATAAGTCCCAAGTTTTTTCACCTTTAAAAAACTTATTATGATATATATAATATTTTCTTTCACTTAACACAGCAGATATTTCCCCATATCATTAAACATAGATCAACATCATTATTAATGGTAAAGAGAATATGATGGTGATATTTTAACATGTAAAGATGTACATGAGAGTTATAAAAGAAAATCAGTGAGAAGTACTCTATGTAGAACTAAAAATGTGACTGAGAAAAGGAAAACATATGGCCAGACCAAAGATAAAATGTATTAAGAGGGAGAAAAATCTTGAAATTCCAAGGAGTATTTTTAACGTCTTTCAGCTCTCAGTTACTTCTCTTCCTTTCTGAGTCTGGAGCACCTCTTTCTTGAGTGCTATCAGCTAAAGATGTCAATGGCTGGCTTAGTAAATTGGAAAAAATGATAAAAAGCAAAGTAAAGAAAAATAGGACAGGGGGAATAAAGAAAGCATCTTTTAAAAACTACTCAAATGACAATATACAGTGGAGACTCAAATTGCAAAAATAAGTACCATAGGCTACTTATCTCTACTTCTGGCATTTGGGATTTTGTCAGTTATACCAGCAGCTATTTAGGAAACTGGTCAATGGCAAATTCCCAGAAAAACTCTCTTTCTATTATGAGAGAAGTACTAAAACAGTGCAAGTGATGGCATGCTAGGAGAGATTCTATGCTATTTTAAGCAAAATGAATAATATGATTTTTGAAGCTAACATCTCAATTACATGCAGTACTTGGGAATGAGCAGACATTCTATCAGCTCAGGTGACTTCTGTTATACATGAAAGGACAGGGTGCTCGAGACTTTTAGGGGGAAGTCCAAGCCAACATGTATGTCAGAGACTGTTGATTACCACCTGAAAACCAGTGCTTCAGTCTTGCTTTCCAGTCTCAGTTTTCTTTCTATATCCCATTCTCTCAAATTAGCTTCTATTTCACAATCCTGAATTTGTTACTAGAGGAGAGATACACACACTTGCATTGAGAAAATACTGCTTATCTGTTTAAAAACTGCTTGTGTATTTATCATGAGAAATAGGCGTGAACAAGCATGAGAGGCAGCATGGCACAGGAGCTTTGGAGTTAAGGTACACCTGCATTTGCATCTAGCCTCCTGACTTACTAGCTGTGACAACTTAGACAAGTTTCAACCTAAGTTTCAGTTTCCTCATCAATAAAAAGGGAATAGAAAATACTAACGAGTTATTGTGAGGATTAAAGAAATCAAGGTATAAAGTACTAGTGTTATTTTGGTTTATGGTAAGTGCTCAATCAGTGGCAATTATCAATTTTTTCTTTTATAAAATGTGCTTTTGATGTTTTACCTAAGAAATTTTTGCTTAACCCAAGGTCACAATAAATTTACCCTATCTTTTCTTCTAAAAGTTTTAGGTATTAAATTTAGGTCTATGATCCTTTTCGAGTTAATTTTTATGTATGATACAAAGTAGGGATCAAAGTTCAATACAATATAATAATTTTAGCACCATTTGTTGAAAAGACTCTTTCTCCACAAAATTGCCTTTTCACCTTTGTCAAAAATCAGTTGGACTTCCACTTCTGGGAAGATGGAATAGAGGCACTTTTCCCATTTCTCCTATTAAGTACAACTAAAAATCCCAGATATTATAAACATAAGAACATTCTGAAAGATAAAGAAAAGACAGACCAGTTAGTGATCTTGAAATCGAAGGAAAGATACAGTAGTAAGTTCCCTGGGGTTTCTTTTTGCCTCATATATCTTGGACTTGCAGCTGAAGAAGCTGGCAACGTGGCAATGACGAGCACAAAAATGCTCCAACAAAAATTTGCTCTCTTCAGCCAAGAAAGAGAGCCAAGAAAGGGGCAGCCTAGCAAGATAGAACTTTTAGAAAATAACTTCCCTACTCCAGCCAAACACTACAGAAAAAAATTGTGGCACCACCCCACCCATGCCAGCAAAGGCCAATCTTTGTGAAACTGTGATAAGGGATCACAATACCCCAACTGGGTGTATCGGAAGAGAAGTCCAAGTACAGAGCCAGAAGCTTCATCACCACTGGCCAGTAATGAGGCCTCCATTAATGATTTCAGTGGAGATGACATGGGGCGCCTGGACTTTCACCCTCACCTGGCAGTAATGAGGCACCCCTCCCATCCGTGCTGGAGTGGTGTCAGAGGAGCCCTTGTTACCATCACTCAGTGGTAACAATATCACCCAACCATGGTGTTAGGGAGACATGGGGAGCTGGAACTCTGACCCTCACCCATCAATAACAAGGAGCTATGCCCACCCTTGGGTGTTGATGGAGGCTGAGTGGGGAAACTAGACTTCTATCTCTATCTGGTAGTAACAAGGCAGCAACACCTATTTGTTTTCTGGTGTGAAATCAGAAAAAGCCAGATAAAACTGAAGGTTTAAAGAAAAGTCAGAGTTTCACAGTGTAACTTTTAAAAGTCCAAATTTCAATAGTAAAGACTCATCAAATCAAGAACCAGGCAGAACTCAAAGTGAATGAAAAATGAAACAATTACTAGATGACAACATCACAGTGAAAGAGATATTAGAATTACCTGAAAAACATTTTAAAGCAGCCATTGTAAGAATGCTTCAGTGAGCAATTATGCACATTGAAACAAATGAAAAAACAGAAAGCTCTGGCAAAGAAATGGAAGATCCAAAAGAATTTTTTTTTTTTTTAACTAAAAATACCATAAACTGAAAGCTCTGTAGATGGGCTCAGCAAAAGAATAGAAGGCACAGAAGAAATAATCAGTGAATTGGAAGACAGAACAATAAAAGTCACTCAGTCTGAACAATGTAGAGAAAACGGACTTTAGAAAAAATGAATAGAGCCTCAGGGTCCTGTGGGACAATTATGAAAGATCTAATATATACCACTGGAATCTTGCAAGGAGAGAAGGGGGTAGGGGCTGAAAAAGTACTGAAGAACTAATAGCTAAAAACTTCTCAAATTTAGCAAGGCACACAAAGCTACAGATTCAAGAAGCTAAGTGAACCCCAAACAGGATAAAATTCACATAAAGACGCATCATAATTAAACTTTTGAAAACAAATGACAAAAAATCTTGAAAGCAGACAGAGAAAAACCATACATTATCTATAGGGGCAAAACAACTACAGTAAATGAAGATTTCTAATCAGAATTCATAAAAGCCAGAATGAAGTGGCACAACATTTTTCAAGTACTAAAGGAAAAGAACTGTCAACTGGTATCCTCTATCCAGTGAAAATATCCTTTAGGAATGAAGGAGAAATTAAGACATCCTCAAATAAAGAAAAACTAAAAGAATTTATCATCAACAGACATACCCTAACAGAACAGCTAAAAAATTTTTCTCTAAATAAAAAGGAAATTATAAAAAAAGGATTTTTGCAACACTGAGAAGGAAAAAACACAGTAAGAAAGAATATTGGTTCCTTCTCCTCTTGAATTTCTAAATTATGTTTGATGATGGAAGCAAAAATTATAACACTGTCTGATGTGGTTCTAAATGTATATAGAAGTAATATTTAGGAAAATTGTATTGTAAATAAAAGAGGATAGAGAGACAAAGAGAAGTAAGGTTTCCATATTTCACTTGAACTGGTAAAATGACAATACTAGTAGACTGATAAGTTATGTACATAAAACATAATATCTAGAACTACCACTAAAAAAGCCATACAAAGCACCACAGAAAAATTTAAAAATATTCAAAGACACTATAGATAAATCAAGAGGCTATCCTTTCCCCAGTGTATATTTTTGGCACCTTTGTCAAAAATCAGTTGGCTGTAAATGTAAATGCATAGGTTTATTTCTGGCCTTTCTATTCTATTCTGTTGGTCTATTTGTCTGTTCATATAGCCAGTACCATGTTTTTTTAGTTACTATAGCTTTATAATATATTTTGAAGTCAGGTACAGTGACACCTCCAACTTTGTTCTTTTTGTTAAGATTGCTTTGGCTGGGGGGGGGGCATGCAGTGGGAGGTGCGGGTGGTTCCACACAAATTTTAAGATAGCTTTTTCTATTTCTGTGAAGGATGTTGTTTATATTTTCATATGAATAGTGTTGAATCTGTAGATTATTTTGGGTAATATGGACATTTTGATGATATTAATTATTTCAACCCATGAACACAGGATATTTTTCCATTTATTTGTGTCTTCAACTTCCTTCACCAATGTTTTATTGTTTTCATCATAGAAGTCTCTCACCTCCTTGGTCAAATTTACTCCTAGGCATTTCATTTCTTTTGGGAGCTATTGTAAATTGTTTTACATTCTTGATTTCTTCTTCATATATTTCATTATTAGCATATAGGAATGCTATTGATTTGGGGGTGTTGATTTTGTATCCTGCCACTTTATTGAATATGCT